GCTCTGAGATCTTGGATACACGGTCCTCTCTTTCTATCTTATGGAAAAGGTAGGAAAAGTGGGGGTAACTAGCAGTCCAGAGGTATATAGTCAAAGGTATGCACTGTTAAGGATGGATTTCGGAAGGGCGAAAACAACATGAACCGGTGCACAGAGCATTCGTAACTCAAAATCAAAAGTGATTATCTTCCGCGAAATATGACAAAGTAATGACAGTTCGATCGTTATTAGATCTGCAAAAAAAATTAGAGGCTGATACAACACTCAACACGTGCGCAACATTTCCACTGAACTATATATACACTGGAATGGGCATCGAGGAAAATTCGTGGCCGCAATTGATCAGCCGCCATTTTGGTTGGGTCGGATGCTTGAGCGAATCAGAAGCGTTCGCGTGCGCATTGCGATCGATGTATCGATCGATGTACTATCGCTATATGGAAATCTATATGGACATGAATGGTATATAAACAAAAATAATGTCACTTCAATTATTTTTACCTATAAAAGGCCCTTTTTACTTCTCTGCCCACACCCAGGCACACAGCACTTCATGTTGATGCTTTGTAGACAGTCACGCGATTTTATAATCCTTCAAATATAACCTCACATACGATAATCTTGCTGACATATACGTCTTGCTTCTTCTCTGCGTGAAAATATGCAGAATATGAAAGTCTAAAAGAGTAACATAAATTCAATTGCGCGTTTGAAGCTGGTCACACTTTCCAAAAATAATGGCGCAATAACACGTCCGATCACGAGGGAAGACGATCACCAACGATCACCGTCCCATCAGTGATGCGAATTCCGGGCCGCTTGCAGCACGGTTACTAGCATGAAGAGGGCATAAGAAGGTACATACACTACGATAAGTTCATATCCGTGTACACTTACGCATGCGTTATGTGTCCATCTATACTCTCTTCATGTTAGTAACCGTGCTGCAACGGCCCGGAATTCGCATCACTGCGTCCTATATACCATATACGTCTTACTAAAGAACACTAAACGTAAGTGCGCATGAGCACCTAAAAGCTTCTGATTCGCTCAAGCATCTGACTCAGCCAAAACGGCGGCTGATCAATTGCGGCCACGATTTTCTATGCTTCTCAACAGAGATGCCCATTCCAGTGTATATGTAGTTCAGTGAATGTTTCTTAGGAGTCTTAACAGGTTATCGAGTATATCGCTAAGTAAGTATAAATATATATAATATATTTCTATATATGTTTACATATGTAAAATATGTAAAATATATTAAAATTTTCAACATTTTTGAAAAAATTTTACATAGGCGACTAATGATCTCCTATCTACTAGTGATCAGTACGTTACTGAAGCTACATTGGACGCGCATGCGTCAAAAATCCGGCCCGTCTAACAACACTGCAAGAAGGAGGAAGGCTAGCGCTCCATCGCAGTGTGTGGCGGTCTATTTGACACCACATACATATTTCGAACAAAGCAAACTTCATGCGGATG